GCTCTTCGCGGTCGTACTGGGAAAAGAGGCTGAAATTAATTACTTTCGGCGTCAACGACAGATTCGCAATTGACGGGACGATCGATTGTTCGCTTGATACGATTAAATCTCGTTCGTTCTCCATCGTTACGCTTCTTTCTCTTATTATTTCTTTTTCTTCACGATGTTTACGCATTGCGCTAAGACGAGATGTCGACAACGAGAGAGATTATGTTGTTTGTTGTTCAAAGAACGTAAGAAAAAGAATTGTGAGTTAATCTCTGTGAATATTTGCCGTGGAAAAAGAATTGATATTGGCATGGAACGCGATTGTTTTGTAAAGATTCATTAGGAATTAATTAAAAATGTACTAAAAGTAAAGAAATTGATGCAGTTTTCATGTGAAAAACACGATTTAAATTATCCGGGTTATTAAGAGTATAATTAAATTTGTTTGCCGAGTTTCCTTTGTAGAATAGCGCGTAACCGCTATTAATGGACATTCGACATACGATTTTTTTTTTTTAAAACAATCCTAATCCTCGTGAAAAAAAATATGAAGTAAAATTGGCCAATGTATTTGTAACGTTTTCAAATCATCCGTTATTTTATTATTCGTTTATTTTCGCGAAAAAATCTCGCAGCTATGGCAATGTGAATGTGCGTTCAAAGGCTTACAATCTTCAATCCGTGTAAAAAACTATTCGTTTTTGTGTCTATTTATATGTCATACATTCGCTGGGAAATTTCGAAAATCAAAAGGTGGAACTACTTTTATTTTGCTCAGTTAGTTGGGATAAAAAAGCTGGATTGAAACAAGAGTCGAAAGAGAGGGAGAAGCGACTGCTCTTTGATATAACACCGGATTGTCGTAATCCTACTCAGTATTAAGCGAAGCGTTTTTCGCATCGCGGTTAAAAAATTTGCTTCAACAGGAGTGCGATTACATTTCGTCACAGATATGACAATAAAATCTCTCGTCTTGCTAATTATACCTTTTTTCTTCTCTTGCCATTGTTCGCTCTTCTTTCATGTACAACGTTAAGCTATTGGATATCACTAGACATTTTTTTCAATAATAAGATAGTCTTTTCACAGTTTTAATCGTTCAATTGAACATTTTGGAGATAACGTATAACAATAGTTTTTATAGTTAATATTTTTCATAGATAATAATTTAAAAACAATTTTATTTAATTAAATGAAATAATTATATTAATATCTAGTGGTATTTAAGATGGATGGTATTAGTCGGAAAATATTAGACATGCTCGATCCGTGAACATGATATTCTTGCTGCGATAGAAAATTAAGTACAGACCACAACACCACTAGTAACAACAATACTAATATTTCGCATCGGCGAACTTGCCGTTGCGGCGCGATTGCAACGAGAGCTGCAATAACGGTATCTTATTTAGATAACCAGTCGTGTAGCAGTCCTTCAATTTTGCTACGAACCTCGCCTTTCCTCGCATTCTACAACCGTGTACTTAGTATATACTCGGAATAGATCCGGAAATTCTCGAGGAGAATACATTACTCGAGAGCAGCGGAACTTAATACTCTTTCCATTTTTCGCTGGTTACCGCATTTTGTCTTTATTTCTTCTGTCCTCATATTTCAATGTTCTCTAAATGTGTAATATAAAATAGAACGTAAAAATAAAACTTATTTCTCAGTATTTTATAATTATGGGATTACTGTCTCTTGACGACTCTGCACGTTTTGCAATTATCTTTCGAATTACAAGAGTAGAACGATATTACAAAATCACACAACTAAATGTAAAATTCAGAATCAAACATAATCCGTACATCATCATCACCTTCTAACATCGATATAATTCTGCGATTCCAATGGTCTCTATGGACGGCAGCGATCGTGCATTTGTACCAGTGACGTTTCATTTTCCCCGAATTTAATCGACATCTTTGTTTCTGACACACCGACCGTTTCCATGAAACGCAACAATTCGCGGTGTAATGTTAATTTTTCGTTTCTTTCTTTACGTCCACGTGAACCTCTATGCTTTGGAAACCGTCGTACCGCGAAGCGAGTTGGATGGTGAGTTGGCCGTGGCGTAACACACAGTCGGCTTCACTGATTGCCAATATGGCAGAGTGCATAGAACACCGCACGCTGCACCGTTCTATATATCTGCGATGGTCGCGGACCCACAATGTGCCACGGGCGTTAATTTCCTCGTGAAACGTATTTCGTCCCTGCGATTCAATTGTTCCATCCTACGGCGCGCTACGCTGCGATGGCTAGTCCTCGGAACTCATAATGATGTGGTTCTCTACTAATCTCGTGTCCGTGTTTTACGAGGCCGTGCGCGTAAAGGGGCGATATAGATTTTGAAAAGCTGTAGCCGGAACTTATCCTTCGCGGTTACAGCTTTTAGAGACTTGTATGAGTGATTTGCAAAAAATGGCAAACGCAATCAATGCCGCGGCTCTGCAATTTTCGGATCGAATAGCGCCTAAAGCTATATTCGCGCCGTGAGATGCATACGAGAGATCGAACGGCCAATTTTCCCACCGCAAATTTACAGACTTTATGATACCAACAGCAAATATGTTTCAGCTGGAACGAATATTATGACAGCGACATAGATTAAACTTTAGGCCTTGGGGGGGTAACGAGCTCCAGGCGACCAGTTGCCACACTAGTTTTCAACCCTCTCGCGTTTCCACGCCCTTTGCCTTCATCGCGCAAGCGGCGCGCGTGATTGTTTCTCTCGCGGCAGGAAACAAATCCGCGCGCGATGACAACGCGATGCATCCTGCTGCACTCTCTAACACAGGACTTCGTCTACCAATGGCATGCCACGATGCAACAAAAGCCCCCTACACACATCGCTCCGCAGAGTGCTGTTTGTCGTTTTCGCGTCGCGTGTTTACGCACTGGCGCACTGTAATGAATTCGAGATGGTCTTCCAACGCGCGCCACTCTCTCCGGGTTTTGTTATACGCTCCACGCTTTTCTACGTATTCAATTAGTTGCGGCATACCATATACGTTGGATCTGCATATCCACATAGTTCGTAGCGCGTGCGCACTGTAGTATATTGAGATCACGATACACTGTGGTCATTCAATGCGGAGTTGCATTATCGCCACCATCCTTTCGTGAATTCGATAGTTTTTGTTGTAGCACGATATTACAAAACGCTGCGCAAGTATTACCTTTAATTGCGCGGTATAAAGAATATGTTTACAATGTTTTACAATGTTTTATATACAATCTAACGAAATAATATGATATTTATAATAAAAAAAAAATCACGTTGGAAAATGAAAAATAATTCTATCAACATAATTTTGATAATTAAAATATGCATTATGACGGATATTTTTGTCGAAAGATTAGTTTTCTAAATATATAATTAATTTTCGCATCTGATTCACTTGCGCACGAGAGAAAAGAGGTTAATAATTTTAAAAGCAAGTGTCGGGAATTTACGTCAAATCATGCAGTCAAAGGAAAATAATAGAAAAAGAGAGAAATACAGCACAACGCAAGGCGCGCAAGTGGAAGCGCCGGATGTGCTTTTTACACTGTGACAGGAGCCACGTTTGCTAACTCGTTTGCAAGCTTGTTTCGTAGCATCGATTATTCAAAGGTCTACGTCACTTTCGTGGAAACGTTCCATCTCGATAATTCTGATTGCCCATCTACCATGAGGGTTGCTAACCCCGCGGATTATAACAACAATAATTGAAACGAATGATCGAAATTCGGTCCCCGTGCGCGAAATTAATCGTGAAAAATCTTGAAAATGTTGTGACAAGTATATCGCGACATGAACTAGTAGTAATGGTATTTTCTATTGGTATTTTTTATAATAACACAGACAAATTTTATAATGCGAATTATGTGTTTTACTAAAATCAGAAGATTTTAATACTCTAATGTCCGAAGATTTATAATTAATACTCTAATATTAAAAGATTTATAATTGATACTTTAGTGATATATATATATATATATAATACTCGATAAAGTTATTTTTGTTTAATAAATAAAAATATGCGGAAATACTAGCGTTATTCTTATTTAATAATTAGGCACAAAATATTGCATACAACATTTGCATTGATCGGATCAATTATTGTTGTTTTTTACAGTTAACTTTCGGCAATTATATCGCTGTAGATGAAGCTGTCAGATATACACCCCATCCGACTGACCCTAACAAGACACTACTCACGCAAGAAGCGGTAGTCACCGTCCGAGGAGTACCACTAACCAACTACATGGAGGACCTTTTAGCCTCGAAAATTTCATTCAATGCGAGCAAAGTAAGTAATATCCTTTTGCTCAAATATCTCTTGTACATATATGCAATTTATTAAAACATTCGAAAAAATTGGATATTGATGAGAACTTTAGGTTCCATTACCATATTTACTTGCAATTATAACAATATCAATAATGATATTTTTAATTTTTAATAAACTATTTGTAATTTTTAATAAATATTTGTTTTTTATGGTTCAAAAGAAAACATAATGAGATACATAAATTTGAAAAATATGAAAAATATAGAGAAATGTAGAGAAATTTTTGCATTATACGCGTTTTCAATTTGGCGGACAGTATCAAATTGCGTCATAAAAAATATCTCATAAAACGGTGATGCGTTTGCGTATTCCATAAAAGTTTTTGAATGATAGCCCGTCAATGGCATCTTCGCGATCCGAGGACGTGTTTTCGGATTTTCGCGCATGCACGTAATCTTTTTTTCCTTACGTTTGAGGGTCGACAAGGGTTGGAATGGGTGATCAACAAACTCGAATCCGAGATGAAGGAGTTCGCCTGAAAGGCCCGGCCGCCGTCGCGAAACTTCTAAACTGCCGCTATCAGCACAACATGAGCGCCGGCGTCGGTGGGGAGCGGCAACTTCTAGATCGAACGATTACGCGGATCAGAAGAACATTAACGTCCCGGGTTTCGTCAGAAACGAACAGATGATTCGCCGCGGGGCACGTAGATAGCCTAATTGAATTTTACGGAACTTGTTACTAACCGGTTTGCAGGAATGAACGTTCCCTTTGAAGGGCAATTGCCTTCGCAACCGTACCCTTGGGTCCAGACCTGCAAAGATCTGTCTAACGAACGGGCGAAATAACATGACTGATATAGAGAAACATGAAAATGTGTAGGTTTAATTTTTAAACGAGGAGGTATAACGATTGATTCGGTAATTGAACGGTAACAATCCCGACATCTCAATCTGTGCTCCCATACCTCTGTCAGTAAACTGCATCGACTGATGATGAGAGCCAGTTATATCATGAATCTACTACACTTAGCCAATTCAAACACGTGAACGTTCTCGATCGTGTACAAGAGAATTAGAAAAAAAATATGTGTCAATATATGTAATTTATATTTATATAATTTAGTCATAGCAAAAATTTTTAATAAGTATTAGACACAATTTTCATCAACATTCACAAATGGTTTTCTTTTACTACCCTCCCATATTTTTGTGAAATCTTTTATTATTATATATTTTTTATTACCTATCGATTATCATATAAATTACTTTGCTCAGTAATCCAATTGCACGAAGAATACGTCTTATGAATCTATCGCGAGCCGACACACGAACAGTCTCATAGACTGGTCGAAAACGAACAATGCGGACACAGACCTTTGCGAAACTATGTTCTCCGAACTATGTCCGTTCTCTCCGGACTCTCATTCCTTCTCAACGAGAAGGTAAAGCTCTTTGATCGCGGCGAGGAGGCAACTTATAACGCGTTCCGAAATCACTATGTGGTCTCTTTGATGCATCTATCGTACGTCGGCGTATCCGAAATTGTCGCGACCGAATAATTCCGCGGTTTTCCTTTTGTGTCGATTCCTTTCCGTGTTAATTTTTACAATCTTGCAAATTTTTTTTTATAATGGATATTCTGTTCTTTTGGTCAATGATTTGTCGATCTAAATTCATCGGTCGTTTTTAAATTCCAACCGAAACATGAAAGAGTCCTCTGTTGACTATAAAAGAAGCATCGAACAAAAGTGTATTTTTTGTATCAAAAAGTCGACAGAGAGAGAGAGAGAGAGGAGAGGATGAATTCACGTCCACTTTACGCGGCCGGATGCTTTAATTTAGGAAAGTCGACATGCACGTCGAGCGCGGACGTTGATTCACCCACGAGTTCGATGGTCCGATACAAAAACTGAGCAGACATCGAGCAGCGTTGCGTGGGGCGCGTACAAAGGATACTGCTTGCCGCTTTGTGATTGGAAGCTGTCAATATTTGTCTGTGTCGGGTAACAGAGAGGTCAGCAATGAATCGCTAACGTCATCAATTATCTCTTACATTCCGCCATCAAACAAGCCGCGCGTTAAACTTGTCCTGTCCGTCCTCTATCGTTACCCTCGCTTCTGATTACGATCACTCACGGTTCATCTCACGGCGATTGACTGAAGTACGCGGAACCGTTCCCGATGAAAATTGTCTCTTGACGATCGAAAGCAATAATGACTTTGGTCGAAATTTCGCTTGATCGGAAATTACCGGGGTACACACTATCGTGTTCGATCCTTTAATCTCTCGCGCATACGTTGTGTACTCTACACGAAAGTATTTTATGATCCGCGTGAGTGCCCTCGAACAGTAGTTAGGGCAGGCGAACAACTACCCTAAAGAGAAAATGAGATATTTTGTGATGAATATTGTTGCGAGGATTGATGGATTATCTTGATTAAAGTCAAGGTTTTTTTTACGTGGAGGCTACCAGAAAGGCATTAATAAATTTAGTTTATACTTATAATGGCTACTCTACTATCTGAATAATTCGGTTCTACATTTTCAGTTATATCGTGTTATAATTTAATATTATATTATTAAAATCGTTTAATATTATTTAAAGTAAAGAAATTTCTAAAGTTTTGCACAATAATATCGAAAAAAGAAAATGCATTCTCTCCGTTTCGCAAATTTGATTCGATCTCGAATTTTCAAATTTCCGATTTCTGCAGCATCGACGATTTCAAACGGCCAATAACTGCGAAAGTACGTATAATCCCGAGGAAATATACATACGTGTATTACACATTTACTTTGGTATCGCGATATAGCTCGCACGCGTCTTGCCTTATCCATATTTAGATTACAATGCTTTACATTAGAGATGATACGGGCAAAACGGTAATACTCAGGGGAAGCAAAAGTCGCTCTCGTGCGCGGTTTTCGGAAAATCGAAAGGCGTCTCGCTGTTCGCCTTGAAAACTCGTGATTCTGCAATGAAATTGCAGCGGTGCGCAGAGGATCTGGAGACACCGAATGTCGCTCTCGGCGTATGTATCCGTGCTCGTAAAAAGGATTCGCTTCTCAGTCGAATCCCGTCTCCGTCTCTTCGGTTCCGTTTCTTACGAGAGAGGGCGAGATTCGAAGAATCGTCGAAGGGGCTCATGGTTTACACATCGTGACGGCGCTCTCTCGTCAAAACCCGTAAAAGCTCTCGGGGACGATCGACTTTGAGAGCTAGCAAACGGTCAAGGAGATCCTCCTCGCCGTTGCCGATTCACGACCTCGTGAAAAGCTATCCCCGCCGCGGTCTCAGCGCTCGTCTTATTTTCCTCGCCTCGCTCCGCTGCGCTCCTTGGCGCCGATGGTCTCGAGGGGCCGCAAAGCGGCGTCGATTTTCTTTCAAATAATAAATTCGACTGGCCCGCGAATCCATCCACCACCCGACCGGTCAAGTACGTTCCGAGAAGTTCTAACGGCTGCTTTATTTCTATTGGACGTTTTTAAAAGTTTTGAGAACACAGTTTCGCGAGCTTCGACCGTTTCCGCCTGTGGAATCAGGGTCGACGAGAAGAAAAAGTTTCCCGACTGTGCAGCACAAATAAAATATACGTTATGATATTTAATTCGGAAAGTTTTTAAAACAAAAAAAGACGAACGGACTGTGTTTTATTAGTGAGAAATCTCGGAACGGCATTTGCTATTAAAATTTCGTTATTTTTATACGCGATCGCGTGGTATTTTTAAATTAATTCAAGAAAGATCGTAATCGCGATTTTAATATAGAATTCTTCTCTTTTGAGGATTATCTTCCGGTATTGCCTGTCAAGTTCTTATTTTACTTGCATTGTAATGGATAAAGAGAATTGGCCGCAAACTAGCACCCGATGTTCGCATCGCAAACTCGGTGTATTTCTGAACCCCAACTTCGTCAATACATCCTGTTTTATCTTTTCTGTGAAAGAACTTTTAATGAGATCGCGTACACTGTTTAAAGATTTAAAGTTTTGCGAGCTTCAAAGAGATCTTGCCATGCTTCTCTAAAGTATTACAGACGGGACGAAGCATTATTATGACGTACAGAACGTCTGCGATATTACATCGTAAAAATTGCCTCTGTATATTAGTTCTTCGCTGCCTGTATCCTATCAAAAACTCAAAGAAAAATGCACACTAAACGAAAGTAGAAAGGAAAGGAAGCCTTCGAATATGTAATAAGATTATTCGAATCTTTTTAATATCAAAAAAATCTTTTAATTAGACATAATTTCGATATTTATATCTATGCAATAAAAGTTTAAATGTCTGGCACAAGAAAGGAAAATAAGATTTAAGTATGCATAGAATCAAATTTCAATAACAATAAATTTTCAGTTCCAATAAAAAAAAATTATTCTTTGAAATACGATACACAATACAATTATTAAAATTGTATCCCCGATTTTACGTTCCGGGCGTTTGAGTCTCCTCACCGTAAAACCACGAAGATAATGGCGGTGCGATTGTGAATAATTAATATAATAACCATCGACGAACGGCGGCCACGAAAAAAACGAGCGCGCGTGCGAAAGAAAGATTTTTTAGTTAAGTAATATATGTGTAATTTCTGGGCACTAGTAGATAGTTTTGCGGCAAAGTTGATCACGTGAAATTGACCAATATCAACATTATGTCGCGGTTACGTAAGTATTCACCGTAAAGATAGATGGGTAATAATGCGAGCCGTCGTGGTCGACGCGGTGCATACGCTCGCCCTATTAGCATACAATTATATTTATACTTTTTTTATGATTCATACTTAGTGCCAGTTTTGCCACCGCCACCATCCTTCGCGTCAAAATCGACTTGCAGTTAACTACTTTTACGATCATTTCACTTGTTTCGAAATTTAACGTACTTCGTGCTCGCCTGTTATCGGGCCTATCATAATACCCTTGCATTTTTGTTAAACGTGCCCCGAAAAATACTTTCAAGAACATGCGCTACACGAAAATTTATCATCATACGTGCGAACAGTCGACTGATGTGATATGCGTGTCGATTATGTTTGCTTTGTCGCGCGAAAGTCAATGTGATTAGCGAGATTAAATAAATGATAACGATGAGATCATCGATCACACGTTGTATCGACAACTTTTTATAATATAATATGTAAAATATTATATATATAATGTAAAAAATATGAAAACAATTTTCTAAAAATAACAAACTAAAGTATTTTATTGTGTTTTCGATACAAACAATGTCATATTTTCACTCTTCTTTCTCTATTCCCTTTTACTGAATAATTTAATAGTGTGATAGCATTAGATATATCCGACGATTTTTCGATTTTAATTATGACATATGATTCATATTCGGGCAAATGACATCGTATTCCCTTCGCTTTCGAAACAGTGGACAGAAAAAAGCTCAAAACAATAAAGTAAAATAATGAAAGGTTACATATATGTATCTTTTTGAATAGCGCGGTACTGTTTTACACGGTCTATAGCTGCGATATCTTCAATGACTCGCCATTGCCACCGGCTATCCATTAATTTAATTAATACGCACCCATTTCCACCGGCATGAAAACGACCTATTTTTACCTTTTATTTCGCACCATTTGAGTTTTACTTTGACGAAACGGCGGATCGAATTTGCAAAACATACACGCGCATTTTCAGCCGCGCTGTGGCGAAAAATTGCATATTTTTCGTCAGCCCCCATCCCCATCAGAAACTGCAAAAATATTTGGTCGCAGGCAAAGCTGCCATCAGTTTAATGAAGATGTCTATAATAATGTATTCTTCATTAAGCGTCGCTAAATAAATTATGCATACGGAATATTCTAGCATGCCATTATGGTCAATCTTTTATTTCATCTTCTCTTTCTTTCTCTCAGAAAGAGAAAAAGTACAAGTAATTATAAATAAAATTAAGTAACGTCGATCACATACACAAAGTACAAAATGGTTAGTCTTATAAAAATTGAGAAACCGATTATCTATTTTTTCGAAAAGTTTTGTGAGAGGTTCCCGCAATATTATAGTGCATTAAGAATGATTACATATTTTAATGAAAATGTAACTTTCTCGCAAATGTGACGTTACATAGATAATAAAACTGTGCGTATTTACATTTGCACATATCACGGTCATAAATTTCATCCTATACATATATGTTATCCTAATATTACCATTACATGCATTATTCCTTTCATATATTTTTTTTCTATTTATTTATAAATTCTACTTTATATAAATCGCATTATCTATAAATCTTATTTTATATTGTATAATTGCAGCCAACATTTGCATTCGTTATTTCCACACACATTGCATATTTTGTTATCCTGGTTTAAATGCAATTTCATGCACCGGATGGAACGTGAAAGCGGAGCGATGCGGTTAGTTTGTTTGATATTCATTCCTTGCTATTAATCGTGTTCAGGAGTCACCATCAGCGTAGACAACCGCCGTGCAAACACGCGCAAAGAGGTGGCTGGCTGAATATCCTGCTATCCCGACGAGGCAGGTGTAAGTACCGTGTTAGTCTTACGGGTTATGTCGCAGCTAGCAGAGCTAACTAATAGCCTCTTAGCCTCGGCTTAGGTAGGATCACGCTGCAAGCGACCGCACCTCCTTGGCTCTCAGACTCCGGAGCAAACCCCTTAACCCTAGATGCGATCCTTAAGCCTGTGCGAGCCTTGCAAACTGCTGATTTCCTTCTCTTACCATGACGATAGATTAGCTTGTGTCATTGACTGATTTTTAGGTCTTGACTTGAATATAGATCGCGCGTACTATTTTCAGAGTGGAGATTTACAGCCACGCTGTATATTTCTCCTGACAGTATGCATCTGACTGAATTATATCATTTGTGAAAACATGTATTCTTATAATGCTCCATAAAGAATTTCATTAATTTTGTTAGTAAATAAATTTTAATATAAAAGAAAACGCGTGCATATATGATTAAAATATATTAGAATAACAATATAAAATACGCATCATGTTTCCTAAGTAGCTAGAAAATGTATAATAGCGAGAAAAGTAAAGTTTGTTCTGTTTCGTTTTTTATGTGTGACCAAGTCATAAAGAGTATAGAACTTGATGAAAAGTACACGAAAGGCGGAGTTAAGAGTTACAAAAACATTGCGTAATAGTCTATTGCGAAGCGTCTAAAGTATTCTTATAAAGTCCTTTTGAATTTCGCTATCAAAAAGTTTCAAGTAGAATATTAATAAAGAATGCGTCCGTGTACTATCCTTCGAAAAATAACATGCGCACCAACACGCGGACGCTGCTCTCGCCTAGTCGCTTTTATGTGCAGCGCATGCGACATTTTAAAAGCAATAACCTTTACGAGCGTCTAAAGCAAGTTTCTTAAAGCATTAATAACGCGGGTGCATATGCATCAAATTCACTAGTAATTTCGATGGCGGAATCTTCATAGAAATTTTCACATAGAACGACAAAAGAATTCATTAGACAGGGAATGATGCCCGGCGCGTAATAAACCGAGCGACAAGCGGAGAATTTATTCACCGGCGTATATCGGCTATCGCAATTCGTATCGATGCGAAAAGTTTGGCGAAACATTACGACAGTTACGTAAACTCCCGGCGGAGGCAATATAACGTCATTATCTCGTGGTGCACGCTAAAGAACCGGCGCATCGCGAGATTTATGGTGGCAATGTGCAACACCTATGCGGACCTTTATCAACGAAAACGGGACTCTCTTCGGTTGACGACAAAAAGTCGATAGGACACACGTAAACAAATCCACGAGAGTTCGAGTTTGCCGGCCCTCGATGTGCCATTCATTAATTAAATCTCGTTTAAGTAGTCGAGGCGTCCGAACGACGGTAAATAATGGGACAGACGGCGGCATGTCCCGATAAACTGGGACGTCTGGGCGACCCTAACACAAACGTATATGCCGTTTGTTTCTCTGTGAAATTAATTCGAGCTCGGGGGTGCCCGTTCACCGGTGCGTCGGTAATATTTCAAAGCAGTGAAAACCTGTCGATACAATGGCGACATCGGAACTTGTCTCCTTTTTAGGCTACTAAATAAATTAACTAGCAGGTAACGCCCAATTGTGATCATTTCGAGCGATTTTTCACATCTCTATTTCGGGAGAAGCGTATATTGTAAATGTTTATACATATATTATATGTATATATATATATATATACCAAATATTAAGAATTTTTTTGAAATTTTGTGATGTTATCATTAAGAAATAAACAATAAAATTTGGATGTAATATGTCGAGTATTAATTGCTTGATATCTAAATATCCATTATTTTTTTATTCTATATATATGTATATGATTACATTTAAAGAAACTGAAAAAATTCAAGTTTAAAATATGTAATGTTATTTCAGAGTTAATCTTAGTATTGCGTATATTTTATATACATATATATATCCTATAATAATGTAAATGGATCGCGGAGATAAACAATTAATTTTACAAGAGTATCAAGTAATAAATTAAATAGTTTATAAGTTTTATTTACCTTGCAGTTGTACTGTTGTCGCTCCGCTGTCGCCTAATGCCTTCCTGGACTTCTTCCTCCTCCTCTCCTCTTGTTCAGGTTTTACTCCTTTGTCGCACTCATACGACATTCGCAAAGATACGATTAATTACGATCGCGCGAATACTAATCAATAGAACATGACAATCGCGCGGTACTTCATGCTCTCGATATCACACGCGATATTATTGTATATTGTGTATATTGTCGAGAGAAAAACGCGAAAACGACGAGAGAATTACGCATTGCACAAAGCTATGATCCACGGAAATCGCAAATGTGAAATGATGACGCATTTTCGGATTAAATTCTGCGAATACTTTAACTATTGGGTTGAACGGAAAGTTAGTGCCGTTTTTTCGGTCTTCATCTCTTAGTAAAAAACGGAATGAACTTTCCGTTCAACCCAATACAATAACTTTGATCTCATTTGAAAGATAATTTAATTTTCTACAACTTTTGTTTCGGTACTTTTTGTTAAAAAACGCATACTTTCCGTGATATTTGTAAAAATGTAAAAAATAACCGTCATTTCAGAGGTTTTTGGGCGCTAACCTTTTAAGGAAGCATTTTTCGACCCATGTATATGGGAAACTTTTTGTTCGGAATTAAATTATCTTTCAAATGAGATCAAAGTGATTGTAGTTCGCTCCATAGGTTTTGAAATAAACCAGTTAATAACCAATTTCAAATGTACCGAAAAGTGTTTTTTCGGCTATTGACG